TTACGAATGAATGTCCAGAGATTTTGACGCTTGCTCTGAATGCTGTGGTAAATATGGAGGAGGGGACGCCACCATGGAGGCCAGGAGTGCGAAAGCAAGAATGTGTAATAGAGAGGGTCGGCAAGAACATTTCGTTAAGCAAGGTTTCCAGCTTTCATATGAGACTTCGCTTCTGTCCAAACTAAAAAAATTGCACGAGAAAATTGAGAAGCGAAAGGAAATGTATGTTACGTGGAGATCAAACTACCAGTGGTACAATAAGAACTTTGACAGAGTAGAAATTCGAGCTAGTTGGTCTGTTCTTTGCTTTATCAAACATAGCCTACAGTGTGAAGAGTGTTATGAGAATTGCAATACGCTAGTTTATAGATGGCAATGAAGCGTCGCCACCTATTCTAGATATATTTTCACAAAGTGATGATCAGTTATTAGCACTATACTTATTAAAAGGAGTGCGAGGTAGCCATTACAAGAGACGACTCAGATACAGGACAAATACTTGGTGTTATTGATAAAAAATTGTTAGAATAATTATGAAAATGAAGCTATTTGACACGTTCGCCTTGCAGGGTAGCTCTCAAGGGGCAGCAGTGTATACCTGAAGAGAAATGGCGTCGCCATCCTTATCATCAGCAGCCTGACAACACCCACTGCAAGACAAAAACCTCTAGCATGATCCGCCAGTCAACTTTGTCTTGTATTTGATGCTGTCACTGTATACCCGTAAACTTTCCAATTTATCTGCCTACTTAACTTTCAGTCTCCCCCTCACCCGCGTGCCTCTTCTTAGAATATAGTCTGTGATCCTTAATGACCAGTCGTTATCTTACATTCGGGCGACATGTTCTGCACATGACCATTTATTTTTCATTCGTGATTTAGACTATGATTTTCTTGACACCAGTTTGTTCCTTAATACACTCTACTCTCTGCCTGTCCGTTAGGGTTTCACCTATCATTTTATTTTCCATTGCTTGCTATAGCGTCGTCCTCTACTTAATTGATTTATTTTGTGGGTTTAACGTCCCAAAACCACCATTTGATTATGAGAGACGCCGTAGTGGAGGGCTCCGGAAATTTTGACCACCTGGGGTTCTTAACGTGCACCCAAATCTGAGTACACGGGCCTACAACATTTCCGCCTCCATCGGAAATGCAGCCGCCGCAGCCGGGAATCGAACCCGCGACCTGCGGGTCAGCAGCCGAGTACCTTAACCACTAGGCCACCGCGGCGGGGCGTCCTCAACTTAAGTTGAACCCTCTTTGTAATCCTCCAGGTTTCTGCTTCATAGATATGTACCGGTAAGATCAGCTGTTATATACCTTCCTCTTGAGGGATAGTGGTAATCTACCATTCATGATTTGAGAATGTTTGCCGAATGTGGTCGACCCCATTCTTATACTTCTAGTTAATTCAATCTCGTGCTTCTACTCCGCGGTTACTACCTCTCCTCACTAGACGTACTCTTTTCCAACATCAAGTGCCCTACTACCAAGTGCACTGCTACCTATCTCGAAGCGCCGTTCGCTTCCGAGGTTGTTGTACATTACTTTCGTTTTGTGCAGATTAATTTTAAGACTTACGTTTCTACTCTCGTTGTCTAGTTCAGTAACCATGAACTGCAATTCGTCCCCCGAGTTACTCGGCTATACAATGTCATCGGCATAGTGCAGGTTACTAAGTATACTCTCTATTAACTCTTATGCTAACTATTCCAACTCTATGCCTCTGAAAACTTCCTGCAAGCAAGAGGTAAGTAGCATTGGGGAGATTATGTCCCCCTGTCTTACACCCTTCTTGAGTGGTATTCTGTCAATTTCTTCATTGAGTACTATGGTGGCAGTTGATCCTCTGTAGATTTTTTTACAGGATGTTTATATATTCTTTGTCTATGCCCTGATTCCGCAGTGTCTACATGACTGCTGATATTTCTACTGAATTAAATGCCTTATCGTAATCTATATGAAGGCTATGTTACGGGTTGGTTGTATTCTGAGCATATCTCTACTATATGATTGATAGTATGAATGTGGTCGATGGTTCAGTAGCCTCTGTGAAATCCTGATTGTTCCTTTGGTTGATTGAATTCTAATGTTGTCTTAATTCTGTTAGCAATTACCTTGTAAATAGCTTGTACTAGACGGAGAGGAAGCTGATCGGTCTGTAATTCTTCAAGTCCTTTTTATCTTCTTTTTATGCATTAAGATGATGTTAGCATTTTTCCTAAATTCTGGTAACTTTTCTCTCAGGAGACACTTTGTAAACAGGGTGGCTAGTTTTTCTAACACAATCTGTCCTTCGTCTTTCCGCAGATAATATTACCCTCCTAACCAGCAGGTTCGCCTCTTTGCGTTTCCTCCTAGGCTGTCTTTATTTATTCTGTCATTACTGGTGGGACGTCATCTGGGTTGTTGCTATAGTTCTTACATAATTTAAGAAAAAGGTGGTTGCAACTGATTATTGAAAATATCCTCGTGGTCCTTAGTTGTTACCTCCACCGATATATTTTATTAAGTTTATTAAGTTTGAATGGCAAATCATGCAAAATGTCAGTGCTATTTGGGCACACATTATGGAGTCTCTGGAAAGCAGCTTTCTTTGTTTTGTGTTTTTTTCTGAGATTTCGCTCAAACACGGATTGTTCAATAATATTTAGGACCCTTCATAAAGTCCAGAGAAACCATGTACAGTAGCGTCCACTGTTGAAGATCACCCTCGAATACACACCATCAATGTTGCTGGCCCTCTAACAGCAAGTGGTTATGAGAACAATCTGCATGCACATCATCAGTGCGTCAAGAGTAGTGAGAACTTTCAACCACCAGTAGCGTTTATCATATTTAAGCTACTATGGCTCCGTAAGATTGCGAAATCTAAGCATGCTGTGCACACAGGTGTTCCCTTTAACAGTGAACGCGTCTGTACATTATCGAGCAAATGTATTTAGTTCAATTTGTATTGACCCCAGCACACTTCTGTGGAATCAAACCAGTGCACGTGTACAACTTGAAGTGCTGCACGTGAATCACTCATTCAAAGAGCAAGATCGTAATTAGTTTCTCGCTCTCAATGCTCTGCGTGTGCTCTTGCACTGGCTAAATTTGCAGCAACGAACCCGAACACTCGAAATAACAATTTCCTCCCTCAGGCCAAGTCAGTGGCCTTCATTTTGAACACTTTCTATGACGTGCATGACAGCATATCTGCCGCGAGCAACTGCAATTTCCTTAAGCATACAGGTTTACATTAAGCATAGAGGTATCCCTGTTGCTCGGATTCTTTTGCTGCCTCTGCTCTGCCCTATTGCTCCACATGATAGTCTTCCTGAGGCATTTATCACTTCCGTTGTTGAGACTATCCTGCGGACCAATAGGGCAGAGCAGAGGCAGGGACAGGATCCGAGCAACACAGATACATAACGTTAAAGGATAGCCGTTCTTTCGTACGAACACCAGATATCACACAGGCTCAAGAAAATCAAAAAAATGTGCGGGAGTTCGTGTGCTGTTCTCTGCACCGTTCAAATTATTCAGTCTCACCAAATTTACAAACCCCCTGAAAACGCAGTCATCAACGGAATGTAGAGTTAAGCATAGGAACAGGTATGTGACCTGCTCCCGGAAAGTTGTCTATACGACCCCCTTTTCTTGCGGTGCTTATTATGCCAGAACGACTGGAAGGTGTCTGAATGATCGGCTGAGAGAACACGCTAACAATGTTAGAAACGGGAAAGATCGTTTTCTTGCTCAACACTGTACTGAGTGCAACTGTGTGCCCCTTTTCATAGACACAGTGACGCTGTCTAAGCACAGAAATGAGCGCACCTCAGTTATCGTCGAGGCTGCGCAGATGGCACGCGAACAGGTGTCATGCGTTAGCAAACCCTCCGTGTCTCTGTACAAGCCCTCCGTGTCTCTGTCCGACAAGGAACTAAGGTTCCTCGAAGGCTTCGGTGCGCCCAAGCAGTTATATCACTTTTACTTTTACTTCTCTGTTTCGTTTCTATAGTCTTTTTTTTTTGCCTTTTTCTGTGCTTTTATTTGTTTGTTTTTTCTTACTCATGCATTCCTCTTTGTGCCACATGGTTTTTGTGACATGGTTTACTGTCTCCTCTACATGTTTTCACGATCTGCGCAAAAAACACAGTTGGAAGTCAGCGCTCGTGTCCTTCTTGTCTCTTTGTCGTCGTTCTGTCCTCGCACTATAACTAGCGTCTTGTCATACCAACTGACCCAAACTGCCACACTTCTGAAGAAGGAGCTGAGCTAGGTAGACTTCATTGCTTTTTTTTTTCGTTTTTCCCTTTGCGTAGTCTCTTTCTCTAAATTTCTTGTGATATCAAGAAATAAATAAATAGATGTATAAATTTCTACAAAATAATGTATATGCCCATAAGTGTACAGGCTTCAGCTTTTGCATGTGAGCAATTGGCGCATGAGCAGCCTTTCATGACGTGTTTTGCTGTTGAAAAGCGCCATCTGCATTTCTCTATGTAAACCCAGTAGTCTTAGAGCGTGTATTCTACAGATTACGATTCTATTCATTGTGTATCTTATTTTATGATATTAATCATCATTGTGATATGATCTTGAGAACATAGTGATTAGGCGTCGTTCGGTACGTCTCGATACTACGCAATAACCAAACGCACCAAGAGTATTTCAGCTGTATAAATCTCCTAAATAGAAAACAGAACCAGCAATAATTGGACTGCACGTGCTCAACTTGATCTCACTTGTGACATAACCTAAAAGTCACCACGATATCCAAGGATGTCCTATTGAAATATGCAACATTTTATCTATTTTTCTAAATGTAAAAGTTATGTAAAATACCAAGTATTTTACCGAGGGCTCTTCGACGAGAGTTCGTGATCGGTGACCGTGAATTACTTTCTTGGCTGCTTATGAACGCATTCGTTTGGTTTGGAGAAGACTGCATTTACCAACCATCTTCTGCTAGATTGAGTGAGCAAAGGTCTGTAAATTGTCGTGCTTACCTTCTTCTGTTTGAGCAGGCTGTCCAGTTCTGCAATGGTCCAATACTTCCGGGTGCTTGCTTTGTTTCGAGGTGACTTGTGTATCACCTAATAAAACATATTAGTTTGAGTGCAAGTTAAAAATGATACTGACATTGTAAGACTGTCCAGTAAGTTCGTGTAACATTTGAAATTACGCGTTATGGGCAAGTAGAGCCAGCATACTGCAAGCTGGTAAAGTTACGCTTTTCTGAGACAGCGGCGAGGTAAGGCTCGCAGAAAAAGACTCATGCACGTGAAATACTTTTCAATAAAATTCACCTATGGAGTCCCTCTCGTTTGTCCTTTTCTGCGTACATTATTTTACCACTGTAAGGCGCAAGCCCCCAAGAAGGCATTTCCAATTCGCCCAAGAAGGCACACCCCATCGTAAGGTTGCTGCAACCTTCTTCATTTGTTCTGTGGCGTCCCTTTTTATAGACACTTGACGGCTTCTTCAACTTCCTATCGTTAAAACACCTCATTGCATGTCTTATTGAATACGTCGGATGAAACATTAGGGCAAATTACCAATGACCAGCAGATTTGCGGTGGATTAGCTAAGCAAAGGAGTAGCGATTCTTTAGCAAAGCCACGCCCAACTTGTAGCACCTAACTCAGTGTGGGCCATTTCTTTGTGTTCGCCTTGAGACCGTGCCTACCAGAGTTGGATTGCCTCCGCCGCACCACTTTCTTTTTTTTTCTCATATTACGGTATCTCTTTCTCTTTTTATCTCTCCCTTTTTTGCGCTCTACTTCTGTCTCTCCTTCAATGATTCCCTCTTTCTTCCCCCTCCTTTTTTATTCACTGTTTGTGGTTCTCTCTTTCGCTCGCTTTCGCTTTCTCTAGCTGATAGTAAGTTCCCCCCAAAATCCCTACAACAACGCGATCATATGCTTCCCATAAGTGCATGCTTTCCACAAGTGCATGCGAGTGGGCGCGTTGTACTCGTAATGATGTTCTCTTTCGTATCATGGGTACACGAATTTGAATCTCGCCTAGCCATGAAAGTTTATTTTGTTTAAGTTCTCTCTTTCTTTCTCCTTTCCTACTCTTTTCTCCTTTCCACATCACCGCGTTCGACACTTTGAATTTTAAAGGTGGAGGCACGATTATGAGAGTTAACGTTCGGCCCAATAAAAGATTGCAAGCTTAAACAGTTCTGCTGTTGAAAAAAATCTTTGGAATATTCTTCGCTGAATAGAGAAACTGTTTTAAGAATACACGAGAGAGCTTACAAAGATTAACTAAACACTCGTCTTTACGACGCCTTTACGACATAATATGGTTGAATATTGTACGAAAGTCTGCCCCTTTTTGGTGATAAACTTATGATACGCGTGCAAGCCTTTAGTCATAATGCAAATGCGTATACTGACCATTCCGACCATCGCTAATGGACACTCTGTGAAGTAGCTGAAAATGTTACTATATGAAAAAAACTATGCGTTATTGGCTTTTGATATGCATAGTGATCGATAAAATGAGGGTCAGACGAGCTGTACTTAAATTTCTGTAAGGCACGACCGTGTTGTGCTACATATCATGCCAGTTATTATGAGAGCAATTATTGACAAATTGGAGTTGGACGTGACTGCTTGCAAGTACGGTGGTACTTCTGAGGTTATTTAGGTCACACTACAATTGAAAAAGGTATCCACAGGAGTTGCATAATTGGGCCAGGCAATAGATAGTAGAAAATAAGTTAGTAAGAAAAATAATCACCGTTATACAAGGAGGCAAGTTCTGGTAAAGCGTGAATGCTCTTTTTTTTCCGGCACTGAAGCCATATCATTCATTCTCCGTGACTTTGTTTCTTGATGAAACAGGAAGCAAGAAATACCGCTTATAATAGTCAATAGTTCAGCCATGGCACCTGCGTTCACGTCAAGCCAATTTCGTTTCATTCTGCCGAATGCTGCTGTTCGGGTGGCGAAATTGCTCACCTCAGTGGATAACTTAGTGAACGAGGTATACGACTGACTGTTCTAGTTGAATCGATGGGAATAAAAAGTTAGTTATTCATGCATGTTAAACTGCTCCTGTAGAAGTATTTCCAGTTTTTTTAGCGCAAGCACAAATATATATGCTTACCTCCAGTTGTGGCTGCATAATGGCGAGAAGTCATCTGCTTCCTTCGGCGTTGACTGCAAGGGTTGCCAGGCGATCTCTCGGTCTGTTGCATTCTCGTCTACAAGAATGTTGGTAGTACACGAATAGCTGGCCTCTTCGTCTTGGTAAGCTTTCTCACCTGGGCTAGCAAGAGTTTTTGCCGCGCCTGTTGCTACCACGCTTGTGTGAGGAGTATCGTTCGAAAGTGATCCTCTTTTCGTCTTTTGTCTTGATAATCGACAAACTGGCACTTTAGGCTTAAATGGAGGAGCCGGGCGGGGCTGTGCTGCTGAGTGGTGATTGAAAGTGATTTTTTGGTTATTATTTTCCTTGTTGGGTGGCAGGGTCTCCCTGACCTGCTTGACTGAATGATGCAGATATGGCTGAACAACTGCTTGTCAGTGCTTTTTGAACTGAGGGTTTCTCGCTGCCTGCGCATTTTAACAGAGTTTCCTTGTGTTGTCGTATGGTGGCGTGCTCGGTGATAAATAAATCGCTGGGTTCCACACTCCTTTGAGCAGCACGGAAGAAGCGTTCTGTGCTGATTGATCAGTTTTAGCTTCCAGTTTTAGTCTACTACCCGAAGACGGAGAAGTTGTGGGCTGTTCAAAGTCACGCATGTCCCATGCTGGAGTAGTCGACACGCCCTTCAATTTACCAAGTTGCGTGAATGGGTTGCCCTGTCGCATCGCAGACTTAGCCTGGGCGAGGATTCCACCTTTTGCGTTTTCATGATTTTTGCAGCGCGAAGCATCACTGATATTCTGCACGGGAGCGCTAAAGCTGCTCGGCCTCTTTGCAAACAGCGCGGACGCTTTCTGCACTTGCAGTACCACATTTGTGTGACCAGGTACTGCATTCCTGGCGGCCTCACGACTTGAGGCATAATGAACCGTCTGTGCAGGAGCACTTGCGCCAAGTTGTGTGGACGTCTTTTCCCGTAAATGGTCGCCCACTTTATCGCGGCTACTGCCAGGTTCATTTGGCGGTTGGGCTCTGGAGCAAGCGCTGACTTGACTGTGGTGGACGCGGCTTTTCTTTGGCTGAAAGCTTGGTTTCAGCTTTGTCAAGCTACACAGCCTGCTCAGCTGCGTCTTCTCGACCTCATCGTCGCATTCTGAGACCACTTCCGAATCGCCGATGAAGACTGTCACTGTCGGTGCTTCAAAGGGCACTTGCGGCCTGTAGGGGTTTTGACAGCTTGGCCTTGTTGTCCAGATGACATTGTCAATACCAGTCTATAGTGAAAAAAAGGAAAAAAAAGTTGTAATACAAATAAGGACAGTCCTTAAGCTGCAATATTAGAAATTTCGTACTTTAGTCCTTTATTTGTTTCGCAAACACTGTGCCAGCGGGAGTTTATGTCATTGACCAGCAACCCTTCTCAATGTCCTTTATATTTCTTTTCAACTTACTATATCCACACATCCATTCGAGTTTATGTATTCACAAGAGCATGAAAGGGCGTCAGAAATAATTAAAAACACAGTTTTATAGACTCCTAATATTGAAAATAAGTTCAGCTTGTAAGTGATTCAACGAAATCGTGACAGATGTATATATATCTTGAGACAATAACGACCGCATGTGGAGCTGCCTTATAGATGGTCGTAATCAGACTAAACCTACTTTACTTGCTGTGTCCTCGTGCACAGGCTTTTATCGGCAGCGCCCTTTGTGTAGCAGCGCTGTTGACAGAAGACACTGTGGACTACATAATGCTATTCGCGTGGGTGCTTATTCTTATCGCGTATAAGTACGCGCATTTACAACGGGCCACTTGGAAGTCATCGCAAGCTAATAGTCTGGCGATATTTTATTGTCTCAGGCATCCTATACTTGCATGATCCTGCTGCAAAGGGAAACCAAATGCACGAGTTCGCGATATGTTACATTTTTATCCCCAAGTGTCATGAGCGTAGGTGTGTGCGTGTGTGTTGGCGGGAATGAGGGGGTTTAAACCCACCCCCACCCCTAAATAATTTCCCAATTTCGCTTGCGTATATATGCACGCACACATATAAACGAACGCATGAACATACATAAAGTATACTTGAATCCCCTTTCCCCTGCAATTCTGGCTATACCCCTGTCTATAGTGTTTTTTAATTGCTAGAGTTTAAAGTACCTATAATACGACACGATAACGGGAGATGCCGGAATAGAGGGCTGTAGAAATTTCGAGTATCTGGTGTTTTTAAATGAGTGCCTAATCTATACCAACCTCAATCATTTTCGCCTGCATCGAAAATGTGGCCACCGCGGCCGGGACTCGATCCCGCAACTTTCGGGTCAGCAGTCGAGCACGATATTTCCAAGTGCGGTGTTCAATACTAACACAACACTGCCTGACCACATCGAAGTGTAACGGCTCCTACCCAGCCGCCCACGAGCGATCTTGAGTAAAATACTAAATCACTAAAATAAACAAACCAGTGCAATATCCCAAAGTTTACTAATAACATCATTTTTATATTTTTAGGAAATTGTGTTCCATTTGTGACATGTTGAAAAGTGCGAGTCAATCTCTACTGCTTTGCTGCCCTGATATATCTGATACTAAAGGGCAAAGAGCATCGTCGAGGAACATGGCAACGTGATTTGAGACTGGTGCGTGCTTTTATACCCATGTTGTCCACGCTTTGGAATGGTGTAAATATCTTGTATATTCTCTGTCTGCTTTCTCGTAACAATAATTTTCTTCACTGTCTGTAGCCTCGTTTGTCATTACGGCCTATCGGTCAAATAGGGTCAGCAACAGTAGCTTTGCGTGTATATAGTTTTGCGTAGATTTTCATGCGCACGCAGGCTTGTAAAGTGTTTTTGAAAATGTTAGTGCCTCCCTTAGGCGGCAGCTAATTCTCTGCTACCGAGAATGTAAACGTTATTCTCTCCTTCTAAGGGCAAAAAAGCAAAGCCTACAAAATAAAGATAAAAGTATGTTCGCCTGAGTTC